TATAAAAATGTGTTTATCTAAAGTTTGGTTATTTATTTGGGTTATTGAGTTGAATTCGATGAGCATCTATTGTCAATAATATTTTCCGTTCATATACAATTTTGTGTTTGATATAAAAGGAATATGTCAATAATTTTAATTAAGTAGTCTGTACCTAATTTAATAAGGATCATTTTACAGGTTAATTTGTGAGTAAAACCTTAGCAAAAATAAAAAAAACATTTACAAATCACTGATTAAAAGATAGTTGCATAAAAATGTATGGTTATTCTTTGCATAAAATGATGGCTTTTAACTGTGGTAAGTGAATCAATAACTAGTTGGTTTCACATGCCAAGAATAAATATTTAAGGTGAATATTAATGCTGTTGGTTATCCCAAGCATTACTTTTAAGACGATAATGGAATTACTTAATTCTTAGTGATAATAACAAAAGTTTTAGTACGAACAATAACCTCGAATGTCTTTTTTCCTAATTCAGTTCCTCTCATGACCATTGCTATTTTCTTACTGGCTGCCATTACTTTTAACTCGCTAATTCATGTGCTTGAAGGTTATGATCTCGTCACTGTGTATACTGAGTTGTACCATTTCAGGCTTTTCTGATTGAACATTAGGTTTCCATTACAGTTCATTTTTATCTTGCGTTAGCCGATAATTATTGAGCTATTGTGTGTCAGCTGTCGTTATAGAGCCGACCATAAAACCGTTCGTATTAGAATAGCTCACTCGTATCTTAATTGTCAAGTATTGTAGGGCGACCGGAAACCTCGATGGATATAATAGTCTCATCAATAAATAGTCACTTATGAAAGTATTTAGCATTTGCAGGAATTATTGCCTTTGTAAACAGTAACTAGTGACAATCACTGACAATCAACATTGCATTGTATTCTTTCTGATATCAAGTCAAATTATGAATTGAATTAGTTTGTACAAACAACGAATCACCCAAATATTAAAAAAATTGACTAATTCATAGTTCAAATACTGTGAAGAGAAACTCGGAGTAATTTACTTTATTTAATGCACATTTTCGGGAGTTAAAAAAGATTACTTAACTGCATTTTCTATCCGAAAAGTGTCAGCACGTTTCATTTATTAAAAAACAATAGCTATTTAATAAGCATTTTTAATGTTGAATATTATATGTCAATGAAGATTACAAAAAGTTATTGGAATGACACATGTCCAGTACATCAGTCAGGATAACTTTTAGACTGACAGTTTAGATTAATGTAAAAGGAGAAATATAATTTGATTATCAGTGAACTTTAGTATTCAGGTCTCATCTTGCTTTGGTCTTAAGGAGTTAGTCTATAGAGGTGTGAATTTTAATGGTGACTCAAAAGAATCGTTAAGACTATGATAACCTTACTAAGTAAGTTATCATTAAAACTAAAAACAAGTTTTTAATTTTATAACATATCTCTTTCATAAACCATATACAATGACTTCTCACACAATTTCATTATGGGCGGATGATAAATTAAGCCTTGTAAATCAATAATGATAAATATTATATACCCTAATAACAAGAAGCATGACCTGTATCCATTAAATGTCAAGATAATAAAGATCATACTAACATTCACACGTATACATATTTACATTCAAACTTATCTAACTATGTGCACTTATATTACAGTCATCTAGTAAAAATCAAGGAGAAAAACTAACGACAAACTAATTAAAGAGGAATCAATAGATTCTCAAACCCAATAAAGATTTTATCTAGTAAGTTTGTTCGTTACACATCTGATAGAATATCGATAACATCATATTATTATTATTACTATCGCTTTTAATTTGTATCCATTTTTTTCCTAATTTATTATTTCCTCATTATCATATTTGTCACAAAAAACAAAAGAATCATCAGTTGTTCACCTCCATAAATCAATCTTTTGAAAAGAGAAAAACACAACGTATTATCGACAATTAGTATGTTTAAGAGATAATCTGTAGAATTATTCTCATATGAATAATGAGTTGGGGGATGATGTCTGATAAAATAAGTATGAAATATATTCAATATGTTTCAATATAGTTTACTTATTAGTTTAGATACTTTTTTGTTGTTATGTCATCATATAAAAAAAAGTTTATGAACTGATATTAAATATACTTTTCTTATTATTCTACTCATTGGGATATAACAAAAAAAAAACATATTTATAATTAACTTTCTAACTAATGGTCAATTTATTTGAAACTATCAAATTCAATCTTAGTATTAATACCTATTTTATCAAGTGATTTATATAATAATGAATGAAATATTATGAAAATATTTAGAAACAAAATTAGTTATCAACCAACTGACCTTTTTTATAGAGTGAATTTCCATTTCAGGAAGTTATAAAATGAAGAGGAAAGTGTATGTGTGTGCGTGTGTGTGAAGAATACATTGATCTTTTTAACATTAAGTCTTTTGTCTTATTCATTTCATAACAGAACATGTTAAATATCGTCGTTCATTTAAACACCGGAGTTTTAAACAAATATATATATATATATTGAAGGCTTGTGTAAATATATAATTGACTTGGTTATTGTGTATCCAATATTTATAAATTCTGCAGTTTAGTAGATCCGAATAATAAGGGAAGTAACAACCAAGTGAACATACATGATAAGCATCAATATATATATATATATATATATATATATATATATATATATATATATATATATATATATATATATATATATCAGGTTTTGTTCAAACAAGATTCTTCTGGAAAAACTGTTGAATGAGTTAGAAGTGAAATTCTTTTGTTATTAGATGCTATCATTTGTTGAGGATAGAGATCTTTAAATCGCTGTGTTTGCATATCGTGTTTTTGCATAACCTCTTGAAAAGCTTGATGATGATGTCTGTATGATATAGAGGCTTGATTTGTATTCACCTGAGAATTTCTTGCTTCCATGCATAGATTGTCTAATTCACCTAATGAATCTATACAACTGGATACCTCCTCATGTTCTACTTCAAGATTTTTTAAAGTACTACTTAATACAGAAGAAATTCTTTCACGATCAGATGGTTGTGAAAAAGATTGTCGTAAAATTACTGCTGCCTTCCTTCCTTTGTATTTTTCTTCATTTCTATCCTCAAGTGTTTCATCATGAAAATTACCTAAAGCTTTATTATCGGAATAATTAAAACCCTTTTGATCATCTGAGACATGGACATAAGTAGTTAGTTCTTCACTTTCTGACTCTCTATGATAAAAATAATTAAAGTTTGATACAATAACAGGTACAGGAAGTGCTATAGTTAGGACACCTGCAATCGCACACATTGAACCTACAATCTTTCCCCACATCGTTACAGGTCTCATATCTCCATATCCTACTGTAGTCATTGTCACTACTGCCCACCAAAATGCATCAATAATACTTGGAAATTGTTCTTCACTAGCATCGACTTCAGCAAAATAAACTGCAGCCGAAAACAGAACCACACAAACAAATAGAAAGAAACAAAGTAAACATAATTCACGAAAACTTGCTTTGAGTGTCCTCCCTAGAACTTGTAGTCCTTTAGAATGACGTGATAATTTAAATATGCGAAAAACTCTGACAAGCCTGATCACTCTTAAAATTGCTAATGACATAGCTTGATTTTGGCCTTTGTTAGCTTCAGCTAAAAGTGCCCCTATTGAAATAGCATAAGGAATAATTGATACCACATCGATAAGATTCATTACCTGTCTAAAAAATGCTAACTTTTGTGGACAAGCTGCAAAACGTATTAATAATTCAAAGGTATACCATACAACACATATAGATTCTAAAATAAATAGTGTTCCTGTAACTTGAGGAGTATCAACAGCAGAAATTATTGGTAGTTCATTAGAATCTTCGATAAATTGAAGTTCATAATGCCTAAAATGTGGTAGCGTCTCAACACAAAATATAATAATTGATATAAGAATGACTAATAAGGAAACAATAGCTATACATCGTGCTGCAGTTGAACTCTCGGGGTATTCGAAAAGTAACCAAACTTTCCTTTGGAATTTATTTTTAGGTAGAATATGGATATCCTCTTTAGTGAATCCTTCGTCTTCACGATAACGTTCGAAAATTTCTTCCCCTAGATCATAGAATTTTATTTCCTCCGTAAAAACATCTATTGGTACATTAACAGGTCTTCTAAGTCTTCCACCACTCTGATAAAAATAGAGTATTGCATCAAAACTTGGACGATTGCGGTCAAAAAAATATTCATTTCTAAGAGAATCATAATAACGGCTTCTTCGGAACGGGCATCCAAGTAGTGTATTTGGGAAACGATTTAGAGTGTCAGTATGAGTTTCGAAGCGAAGACCACTAACATTAATCACAATGCGCTGATCGGTCATTCTGACTTTGAGTTGTCCATGAGAACATCCAAAATTAAATGTTTTTATCTGATCTGTTACACAACGACACATAGTAAACTGTGTATTATGCTTTGTGGCTGCTGAATTTTTTCAGTATATAGATCTTGAAATCTTCTGTTGATTTCATGTGAATAAAGTGTTCAACACAGTTATCGGCGTCTTAGGAGATGAATTTCTCAAGTGTGATTTATTAAAAGTGAATAGATTTGTGAGTCTTTTTAATCCTCAGTATATAACTTTAAAAGTCATTCGTTACAAAAGTGAGAACAAAATATGAAACATAAAGACTTGGGATATCCATAAAGGGAAAACGCATGTTTAGGCACAGATGTAAAAAACTAGCCAATCAGAATCGTACAATGACCATGACTAGGCTAAACGTTCAACAAATTGTGATGACTAGCTGTGTAGTTAAAAAATCAAGAAAAAAGTGTGAAATCTCTTTTGAAAAGATGAATTTTTAAGTAAGTAGATGACCGCATTCTACTTTATCTACGTAAGACAAGGTTAAGGAAAATCCAATTCTATAGTAACTTCAGTTTCAGCTGAAACTTGTAACGTGAGATCTGATTCACTGAGTAATGCAAAGAAACAGTGTAATATTACTAATTAAACCTAATATATTCATTTGTTTTTCTTTTGGAACTTATTTAAATTAGTTGCTTTCGTTTTATGACGTGACTTAACCATCGAGGCGCACTGTTCAAAACCTCGAGGATGACACAGTTCTTACCACCTAATTTGTTGGCGCTTTTCGCACCACGAGATCCAATCCCTTTCCTCCCACCAATAGAGAAACATGCAAATCATAGGAAATTACCATATACCGGTGTAGCTCAATTCTTGGGAGAGTTTGAAGTAAGCTTCTAACTATTGTTAAGTAGTAATCTTTCAAATGTACTGAGGTTCTTCTGTTGGATTCCATGCTTTTGTTATTCTTGTTCTATAAGCACTTATTTTTTGTTAGGATGCGTCTGAAACTCCGGCCCCAGTGCGCATAGAAACTCGTGAGGAACGTAAGGAAAGAAAAGTAAGTTTTGATGTTATGTTATTTGTCCTACAGCGTCGAGAGAAACAAGAGCAAGCCAATTATAAACTTGAACAAGATCTCGCATTATGTAAGTTGGATTCCGATTTTTTTAATGGATTTTGTTTAGGGAATCCTAAGAAAAATCCGAAGGCTACTTCTAATCCTTACAACACGATGTTCGTAGCCAGACTTGTAAGTCATCAACATGCCATTATGATTTTCTAGAACTATGACACCACAGAATCCAAACTAAGGCGGGAACTTGATGTCTTCGGGAGGATTAACAACGTAACCTTATCTTTGGTTTATATACTGGCTTGTAGATTGTAATGGTAAAGAATGTTATAACGGGGAAGCCTCGTGGATATTGTTTTGTGGAGTTTGAACATGAACGTGATATGCATGGTGAGCTGCCATATTTACTTTGTAACACCGCTCACAGTTGCTCAGTGATCTTTAGTTAACCCATTTTCAGTGTGGTGATTCGTAGGGGTGTCATGTTTATAGGCCGAAATAGTTAATTAGCTCTTCATAGCCTTCATTGTATGGTTTGTTCTCTTTTCTCTTCAGGCATCTATTCGTAAACGTGCAGTTGTGTTCACCCTCAAAATATTTTGAATGGCCTGCACTGCATTTTAAAATCATGGTTTTCAGCCAAGCGCTTAACTACAGAAAATCTGGCTTAGGTTTGTTTGTGTGGTAAGCTACTAATTAATGGTCAGCCACATTTGTTGCTACCATAGGGCAGACCTTTTCTGGTTAACTGATATATTAGTCTCAGTTCTTGAACGAAATAGAGTTTTGTAAATACACCTTTGTTTGAAGCTCTTTGTCATTCTACGTAGCTGTGCATAGAAGGAAGGATACTCTTGGTGAGTTTCTAAGTTAGTGCAAGCCGCTCATCTGGTAATAACTACTTCCGAAAAAGGATCAAATAAAGGGAAATGGTTCAATATGTTTGCTTATAAATTATTGTGTTGTATTCTAATTGTTCATGAAACGTCCCAAATATTTAAGTGACTTCTTTTGTACTAATAATGAGATTTCATGTGTAACCTGTTTTGTGTGTTCGTATTGTCATGTACAATCCTTTTAACATTCAAGCCGCCGTCAAAGCCCTAAATGGCAGAAAAATCGATGGTGTCCGCGTTGTGACAGACGTTGAACGGGGAAGGACTCGTCCTGATTGGAGGCCTAGGCGTTTAGGTAAGTTATATGAACACTATGATAGTCAGTTATTTATCTACTCATAGAAACTGCTATCGTAAGTCAATCACTTAGTTTCTACAATTCTCAGCATGTCGGTTAACTATCTTTTCACCTGAACTAGTAGCCTACACAATGTTTGTTGAGTCTTTATTCTAGTTCGGCCTCAGTCAGTCAGCTACAACGTAGGACCAGGCACATATATGCATAGGTCCAAGTTGCCATACCTCATTAACACAACAGGATGGACACCGGATTCATAAAAGTAGTTAATTCAGAGGTGGTAATATATAGAAGAAAGATTGCAATAAGGATATGGTAGAGGAAGAAAAAATTAGTTCGTAGAAAGAAAGGTATGAAGCGATTTCAATCTCTTAGTTTAAGGGAAGACAGGTAGTGCATACACCGACGCCATTGTGACCGAGTCTCAAACCATTGGTTACGATAGTCACGCGGACCCCAACCAAGTAGTCTGCATCTACCAACATGGCTCAGACTAGAAGTTAGTGACTTCAAGCACTGATGCCACGTTTTGGTTTGGCCGCCCCTAACTTTCTTCCAACCATCCCCTACACCGGTTAGCATTGCACGTCGTGGTAATCGGTGTTCAGGCATACGTAACACGTGGCCCAACCATCTCAGTCGATGAAGATTCATAACCTCATCAACTGATTTACCATCATTCCCTAATACCCTGCGTCTAACCTCACTATTACTTACCCGGTGATCCCAGCAGATGCCAGCAATATTTCTAAGGCATCTGTGGTCAAATACTAGTAGCTTACGGGTGTCTTCTACTCTTAAGGCCATGTTTCGCTGCCGTAAATTAAAACAGAACGGACTGCCGCGCAGTATACTCGTCCTTTTATTGATAGACGGATATCTCGCCTTCGCCAAAGGTGACGTAAGTTGGCAAAAGCCAAACGAGCTTTTCGAATCCGTGCTGAGATTTCGTCAGACACCAACCCATTAGGGCTGATCAGACTTCCAAGATAAGTGAAGTTGTCAACGCGTTCGACTACTTCACTCCCTATCCTTAGTTCAGGTGTTGACGCAGACCAGTCCTGAAGCAACAACTTGCATTTAGAGGGAGAGAAGCGCATTCCAAACATTCTGGCATTGTTGCTTAGTGCTACCAGAAGACTCTGCATTTTGTCAGCGTCTTCACCAAACAGGACTATGTCATCTGCGTATTCTAAGTCGATAAGTGGACCTCCTGGAAGGAGATCAATACCCGAGAATTCAGTCGACGAGAGTGTTATTTCCATCAATAGGTCTATGATGAAGTTAAACAAAAATGGAGAAAGTGGACAGCCTTGACGGACACCACTTGAGGTTGCAAAAGTAGATGACAGTTCGCCATAAGCTCTGACTCGACTAGTAGTGTTCGAGTAAAGAGCCTTCACAAGGTTTATGTACTTCTGAGGTACGCCTTTCAATGACAGACACTGCCACAGAATCTCGCGGTCTACAGAGTCAAATGCTGCTTTTAAGTCAAGAAAGACCACCATCGTCGGACGCCGATAAGTATGCCTGTGTTCTAGAACCTGACGAATGGTGAATATGTGGTCGATGCAGCCACGACCAGGTCTAAAGCCAGCTTGGTTCTCTCGTGTTTGCAGTTCACGAGTCTTAGTTAGGCGTCTGATAATTATCGAGGCCAGTATTTTAGATACTATATTAGTTAAACTAATCCCTCTGTGGTTGTCACAGGATGATTTTGACCCTTTCTTATATATTGGGACGATAAGTGATTGCGACCAGTCAGATGGGATAACGTCTAACTCCCAGATCTTAGCTAAAATATTAGTCAACCTAATCGCTAAAATTGGACCACCATCCTTAAAGACTTCTGGAGCCAATCCATCTGGACCAGCTGCCCTTCCTCGTTTCAGATTAACTATAGCCTTCTCAACTTCAGCAAGAGTTGGGGGACCTACTTCAATGTTCCATTCACACTGTCTGGGAATGGAGGGTAGTTGTAGAGTAGCTGAAGGCCAGCTGAACTGTTCTCTAAAATGTTCCGCCCATCGTTCTAAACGTCTGGACTGGGAGCAGATGAGAGTATCGTCTTTTTCCGAAATAATCTCACTTACACTTGACTTATTAATTCCAGTTTCTTTTATTAGTCTGTAAAGCTGTCTTGTGTTCCCTATAGTCGCCGCCTTTTCCATCTCTTTTGCTTTCGTTGCCCACCACTGCTCACGGTCGTTCCTTAGACTTTTTCTTAACCTAGATCTGATTTGTTGTCGCTCTTCATCATGTTCAGAACCTGATGGGACGAGTTTGCGAGAATCCATCAGTGTGATAGACTTTGAAGAAATCCACTGGTTCTTTGTAACTCTGTGGTTTAAGTCACTAATAGATGTCACTGCTGTTTCCACAGCTGCTTGTATGTCTTTCCAAGCAACATCTGGGTCAGCCTCGTCTTCACAACTACCTAAGTGTGACCTCAGTTGTTCCTGGAACCTACTTTTGGTTTTCTCGTTACTCAACTCAGTTCTAATGGGTCTTTTTAATGTGGCTTTTTTGCGTCCAGTGAGGCGCAAGCAGATGCGTGCCCGTATTAGGGCATGGTCGGAGTCCAAGCAGGTACTCCAGAATGAGCGACAATCTTCTACCGACCCTCTCCAACGATGACTGATGGCAATATGGTCTATTTGAGTCCATCGTTGGTTTGGTGTAGGGGGTCGCCATGTTAGACGATGTCTCTCCTTATGCTTAAAATTTGTGTTTGTCTGAGCACAGTTGCAGCAGACGATCACCATTATCTGTTCGCTGTGTCGGAATACTAAAATATCCACCTAAATGCCTTTCTGTTTGGTTTAAACTACCTATCTGAGCATTAAAGTCACCTGCTACGAGTACTATGTCTGAGCGTTTAGCTTTCTGAAGAAGTTCGGATAGCTTTCTGTAAAATTCATCTTTCACTTCATCTGAGCTGCAGTCAGTGGGAGCGTAGGCAGAAACGACAAAAAGGCAACGACGTGTGTCCCTATCCTTCCGAGTTCTTACGGAGCCGTTTAGCCGAACAGCACATAGACGACTGTTGACGGGGATCCACTCTAGCAGTGCTTGTTCCGCCCTCATGCTTAGTGCTATGCCTACTCCTGCCAGTCCACGAGAACTGGCCATCGGGTCACCAGATACACGGAGGGTGTATCTCGTTGGCTCTCCGTTTTACCGAGGTGAGGTCAAGTGAATGACCACACTGGTACGAGATTCTAAGGTTCTAGCGAAGGAAGCCTGTTGACCGATTTGACATAGGGTGCGTACGTTGAAGGCTCCAATGTGTAGTTTGGAGCGAGGTTTCAGTAGACCTGGGACAGTGTTTTGAGCACTAGAATCGTTGGCTATGGTGACATTTGAGGAGGAAGCCGAAAAAGGAAGTTTAGAGGTGAAAGTCGATGTAGGAGGAATAATAGGAAGTGAAGACGGAGGTTGATTATGAATACAGTGGTCTTGAGTGCTGTTAGAGCTATGAGGGCGGTTATCACTTCCCGGTTGCCCACACCGTGGAAGGGTTCTTCTGGAGGTACCTGAAAAGGAAATTGAATTAGAGGTGGTCTTAACGACCTGGGAGCGTGACCGCAATGCCCAAGGGACAACTGCTTGAGGTCGGTCACACACGACTTTTTTATGGGTGATTTTTGTGTTAGCTCCGTACTTATTGAGACCTTACCGCCGGAGACGGATATCCGTGGGATAAGGCGAGGTGTGCATTTTTAGGGTCGACTTTTTCTAACCCCACCCCTCCTTGTGGGAAGACAGCATCGCTGTCATGCTGGTTGTCTGAAGGAAACAACTTACTGCTGTCACGCCTCTGTACAGTCAGCAGTACGACTTCGCCTTCGGACCTTGGGTTTGTTGCTTTTAGTCTTACCGCTCATCAACCGACCTGTCTGACATGGTAGAACCTTGAGGAACAGTTGTTCCAGCCAGTATAGCTCGGTTGCTTCATCACGATAGGCAAGCCCGATCATCACGTCAAGGTAGCAACAACGGTCGGGTAGTTCGGCCTACTCAAGACTAATGGTTTTACGGCGTTTTGCTTGTGCAACATCTCAGGAGAGGCTCATGATTACTTTCAGTAAATTATTCTTCACTACTAACGCATCTTCAATTTGATTTGCAGATTTTGTCTTAAGGAGTATTGTCACAACTTGGTCAGCATATATAAACATCCCCTCATTTATCTAATGTTGTTAGTTTATGCATAGTCCTCATTGCTACAAATTGCTTAGGTCACAAATATTTTACTTGATGTGTAGGTATATTTTCCGTGTGAAAAATCCAAGGCTTTGTTATGACTGCTAAGGTCTGATCCCAGCCCTATCTCATACTCCCAATGTAATAGTAACTAATTTGACTTAAAAGATAATGGATGCTCGTAGTTCAGGAGCAAGACTTCGAATTGTTCTATAAGCACAGCTTTCGACGTGCATGTTGATGATGTTATCTAGGAAGACGAAAACTACAATTAAACCATCCACTTTCAGAAACATTACTAGTCAGCGAATTTACGACCAACCTTCTTTCTGTAAAATCTAGTTCTGTTTCAGCTACCGTTGAACGTTCGGTTAGGCAGTGAATTTATGTTGGGCACATACTGTTTTCAACCCTCAGCAGTGTTAAGCCTTGTCACCTCACGCTTTGATGGTTAAAAACTCAGTGCTTTTGTCGTTAAGTTTGCGTACTTTTAAGCATAACTTGGCAGGATAGACGGCGGTTGAAAATAGATAGAAAACATCCTAACTCAATCGGTCAATGTTATGAGCCTCATCAACTTACATCATTCCTGTTCAGTACTTAATGTATGGTCTAAACATTACCCACTGCTTCATGATATTCGATCGATTTTCGAAGTGTTTTGATTCAGTTTATTAAATAGTGATGAAAATTTCAAGTACCTATCATCTGTAATCCTATCAGCTTTTAAATTCTAGAATGCCCCATGATCAGAGAAGTTCTTAATGTGTAATACTCTAGAAAATAAAGTTTCGGACCTATAAAATCACTACTATTACGTTACTGATGTTCGACAGTTAGAGATAATGACAGCTCATAAATCATTTGCAATGGTGCAGGTCAACTGATTTTTTGTCTTCCGTTAGATCATAAGTTTCCTAATTATATTAGTCTTGAATTCTCTTTTATACTTAGTCATTTCTATTAACACTAATATTCTTACTACTGTGACGTGACAACCTGAACCAATGTACATGTGTCCAAGATTCCACGTTGCGAATTACCGCGTTTTTCGTAATAAACATATGACTACACTATTATATGCAGTGTGTACTAAATAAAGGCAGTATTCCCGGAATTTCTAGCCAACGTTAAGTATCTTCACGCTAAAGACAAGCGCTTTTGTAGTCATAAAAAGTAAATTTATAGATACTTTGAGTGTCTGTGTCACTACAACCGAAACGAAGTTGTCCCGGCTACAGTACAATATAGGAGTAGTAACTGTAACATACTCCGCTTAAATACATGTTTCAGACTGGTACTCACAATTTTTAACATCTATGTTCCCCTCGGACATAATTTTGATATTTCGTTAGAAATCTTTTTAAGTCAGTGGGAACCTGATCTTACAAAATAAGCGTTTGAATGTTCGTTTTCTGGATCGTTATTCGAGTGGGTCTAAAGTGCGTTCCGTTGATGTAATTATAATCTAAGCATCACACAACCTGACGGAAAAGTCGAATTCATACATTTCGTGTCCTAGTGCGTCGAGTGACATCGATGCTTCCGCGATGTTGCTTTTACTAGATTGCAAAACTTAGAAATGCCGAATTCAGGTGGCATGATGATCGTAATCAGTAGTTGGAGGCCTTGGGCCAAATCTAACCAGTGACTTAAATACTTTTATTTTTTTTACCTCCCTTTCGACCTTAAGCTCCAGCCCTTCACTTTTCGAACCATATTTTCTTTCATTATCAAGTCTCCTGTTTTGGATATATTTGTCAAACCATCACTAGGGATTATTCGTAACTAATATTTGACCTATTTTTTCTTTATAGGCAAGGGCTTAGGTAAGAATCGCCAAGGACCAACTGACAAGCCTCATCGCAGACATGAAAATGGACGTGATCCCAGTCATGATCGCAGTTTCGGTCGACCTATCTCAAGTGCACATGTTCGTGATCGCGACAAAGAGTACAGACGAAGGCGCAGTCGATCTCGGAGTAAATCAAAAGAACGTGATCGACGCGGTCGTAGCCGTGAGTTTAATCTGTTTTTGAAAGTTAACTGATTTTAACCACATACACGTACACAATGCTAAACTATGCCTAACTTTTTTAGGGAGTCGAGACCGACATCGGAAACGCCGGAGTCCAGATGAGCGGGATCGTGATCATAAGCGCCGTGACCGCCGTCGGGATGATATGATTCGGCAGTATGGAGAGTATGGTGCTGAAATTAGGGCGGAATACAATGGAGATGCATAAAACACCTTTTCGAGTCACTCTGTATTAATACAAAATTCACTTGTGTGCAAAAAATTATATATTTTAAGAAAGCTGTACATTAAAAATGAATGTCAATAAACTTGTTGAAAATATTAATTACTAAGATTTTTGAAGCGCAGCATTTAACGGTCCATCTTTGGTGCCTTTGAATAGCAACATGCAAGTATGACACCGAAGAACTAAAACCAAGTATTGTACGGGTCAAAATATAACTTACCTCCACAAAAACAAGAGCGAGCGCTACCACGCATATTATGTAATACTGTTCACGTAGGTTAAGAAGTATCGACTCCATACATCCCTGGAAAAAAAGCGATTATGACTGTACCAACTAATAGTAGCGTTATTCTATCGTCTCGAGCAGTATTTTGTGATCTAAAGGCAAAGTGTGAGCCAAGACTACATTAGAATTTGAGTCTGCATGCAAGGTGTTTGTTTGTATGTCCATTATTTTTGGGGGCCAAATATTTGTTTTGGGGTTATTTTCTGACTTTGGATATCCCAAATCACCCAACGTCTCTAAGCACTAGTCGTGCGGACGTTGACTCTATTAATTAACTACGTCTTCGCTTGCCCATCCCTAATTTCCTCCCAACTTTTTATGACAACAGTTACCCTAGCGCGTCGAGGTGTGTTACTCAGGCACAGCCAACACTTCACTACCTCGCCCAGAAAAATGTCTAGAACCCAAACCGTAACGTCCTACCAAACGCGAACAACGCTTCGAAAACGCCTTGGGTCAAATACTGAGAGACTAAGAATATATTCAACTTTAATGGACTATATTTCACACCCACAGGATAACAACTAGTAGGTTCTTGTGCAATATGTTTACCTTTTCGTTGGCGGACGTTACAGGTGGCCAATTGGCGAAAGCTAAGCGGGCCTTCGGAATCTATGTCGAGGTCTCGTTAGGATCGCTTAAGAACGTAAGTGGTGGTCGACGCGTTCACTCCTTGTGACCACACAAACTATTGGCTCATCCAAAACCCGAAGCAGCATTCTTTATTCGGAAAGGGAGAAACATCTTAAAGAAGCCTGCATTGTTACTCAAGGTGTTTACAAGACTGCGTTTCGTCAAGGTCTTCACTGAGAAGAACAATGTCATCTGGGTATTCAGTAAGCGAATCTTCTGGTAGATCATGAAACCAGGTGAGGACGTCATCACTCGGATTTTTATGACAAAATGAAACGAAAATGGAGAGTGAGCAAACCGCTGCCAGTTGGTATGACGACTTACCATGACCTCTGAGGATTAAAAAGTTTGCGTCTAAAACTTGAGCTCCGGTATTCCTTTATACATCTTATTTCTTGTTTCGATACTCATTATTTTAATTTCATCGCGTTGTACTAGTATCGTATGGGGACTTAGGCTAACGCACATATATGAACGACTTATAAGGTTTACGTACTTTTTCGGTACATCATTCAGTGGAAAACTTACTGCAGAACATTCCGATCGACTCAGTCGAATAGCGTCTTTCGAATAAAGAATACGGTCATGATAGGGCCTCAGTGTAACTGATTTCTAAAACTTGGCGAAGTGGCCTATTGCCAGACTTGTGTTACTTGTGACGTCTTCCAATCAAACGGCGAGTTTGCTGCGAAACAGTTCGCTCCGTTCTACTTTGTGGACGAGAAACAAGGCCATTAAGAGTAAAAGATATTCGCAGGTTACTGACATTAGATCATAGGTGTCTTCGAAGTATTGCTCATATATTTTGGGACTAAAGAGTAAGGAATCCCTAGGTTAGGAATAGAGTACTAGTTAAAGATGGGAAATCGATCAAGTGAGTTCGTTGGGGCATGTGTTACTTATGCCCAACCACTGCTTACCTCGACTGCCGATGTAGTCTGGTGCAGCAGTAGATTGGAAGAAGGCTAGGAGCGGGCAAGCTAAAATGTGGCCTTAGTCCATGAAGTCATTGAAAATTAGACAGGGCCATATTGACAGATGTAGACCATCTGGCTGGGGTCCGCACGACTGTCGTAACCAGTAGTCACAGACTTTGAATGGCGGCTTACTTACAATAGTGCAGATACATCTGTTATTCATTTTACCATAATTATCAGATTCTAGACTCTTCATAACATTTTTCGTTTTTAGTTTACTAATTTATATTTTCTCGAACCATATATTCGATGTCTAGTCTTTCGTACTACCAATGATGTTGTTACAACCTCTACTATTATGGGAGTTGGCCTGACAACTACATTAGTCTGTGTGTAATGGGGTGTGGCAACTTGAGTTGACGTACATAAGTGCCAGGTTCTACACTGTGACCGATGAAAGCGACGGATACAATATAATAATATGTAGTATCTTGAGATATGTCACTACTAAGGTTTGACTTAGTAGTTCTGAATAAACTGAGTGCTGGGTAGACCGTTGAATAAGAAGTTGTGTACATCAAGCCACGAGGAATCAGAAATCTAAATTTTTACTTTGTGGAACTTGACGAAAATAGTATTTCTACTATCCTCAAATGTATTGTCTCTCTCTCTCTCTCTCTCTCTCTATATATATATATATATATATATATATATATATATATATATATATATATATGGCCGAGGTTGGGGAGAGTCCACTCTACCTCTAGAAATGTTCTCACATGGCCACGCGTATACAGACACTGACAGGTAACTCCTATTCAATGCCTTCTCGCGGCAAGGCTGTTGTTTACGGAGTTGAGAGGACGAAAAGTGAATAGTTGACGCTTTAACAGGGTCGGTGGACACAGACTCCACCTAGGGGAGTTGGAAAATACTAATTCCAAACCGATTATGCACATGCGCTCCAGTATCCTGAAGGAACAAATGGCGTATGAACTAATCGTTGGTCACCGGCTACCATGGGACTGCATCTCCTTACGTTTCTCCACTGCCTTGTGGATCAGACCTTCAGGTCGAAGGCTTCGCGTGTGGCCCCCAAGAAAACCACCTGCCCCGGTCTAGGTACCCGGGCAGTATCACAGCCCTCACACATATTAAGTGAGATTTGTGTGGCGCATATGTATTTGGTGCCCCCTTGTACCAATATCTATATGTTAAAATAAATAAATAAAATGAACTAGAAATGCTCTCACATGACCACGTGTATACAACCACTGACAGGTAACTCCTATTCACTGCCTTCTCGAAAAGCGGGTGCTGTTTACGAAATTGAGGGGACGAAAAGCGAATGTCCGGCACTTTAACCTATCATTGGTCACTAGCTACGATGAGAATGCATCTCTCAACGTAGTTCTATTGCCTTGTAGATTAGAGCTTTATATCGAAGGCCTCGGGTGTGCCCCAATAAGAAAACCACCTGCTTAGGTCTGGGCACCCGGGCAGTAACACAGCCCACACACACATCAAGTGACTTGTGTGGCGCATATTTATTCAGTGGACTTTTGTACCAATATTTGTGTTCAAATATATATAACACCTACCTCGTTATAAACATTCGATGGGTGCGGTAGTGTTCCACAGCTTTTAATTGATCTTACGCAACATGAATCAGGAACAACTAGTGGATAGTTTGGATATGGTAATATTTCATTTCGTTTCGAATAATTTTGAAAGATGCTATCTGTCCAATCTCGGTAACTCCTTGATCCACAGCATTTGAACTTTTGTTGTATGTGGTCTACAGCAGCGTCAACACCATCAGTGTCGCGGAAGTACAGAGTTTGCATGGTAAGCATCAATCTGTCAGCAAGCCATTCAGTCAGAATATTAGAGAAACACAGAGCCAAAATACCAGTAGTGAATTGAATTAATAAGATGATGAACAATATCCAAGCGAACTATAAGTAGAATAATGCTGTAAATTCTTACTGTCAAAAGTAGAGTGGACTTTCCATTTGAAACTCCGATGAATCCAATTATGCACACGACCACCAGAAGTCCTCCAACAATGAACATTAGAAAATGACTTAAATAAGCAATTTCACCCAGCAGCACGGGAACAAAGGGCAAACGAATAACTAGGAGGAAAACTCCCAACCCGATTAAAGCTAATGCAATCAGCTAGCCATTATAAATATTTGAAGACAAAATACCAAGATAATTGCAGTGAAGAAAATTAAAAACGTCTTGACCCAACTCGGTGTACACGAACAACATTTGGAGTCATCTTCTTGAATAACTATCTCATCATAACCCATCAAAGGTTTGCCAGCTGAGGATGGCTTGGTTTTTCCACCCATGACCTTCTGTTTTAATGACCTTCTGAGAATTAAACCCTGCGCGCACACAATATAAATAGCTCGAAGGGTTTAAATGAATCTTAACCAAAGAGAAGAAGCTTTCACTTTGTTAAAATTCGAGTGTGTGACAATATGCATTTTTAACAAGAGCTAATACTATCTAGAAATAAGGTAATATTTTATGACCGAAATACGCGTAGCAAATCTAAAGGTGCTGACTATGAACTTCGACGGACCCACCGGATTTAACAGGTAGTTTCAGATTGTATGTGGGTTGTTGCATCCAATGCAACCCAAGGTATAGAATCAAAGATCGTATATTAAGTCTAGTGTATAATGCCTCATCATATATGATCATGTATTTTTTTAAAGCTTAAGATCATGGTCCACATTGAGCAGGTAATTTTTATTAGCATGTGAGTTCTAATATCATGATATTGCTTCCCAACCGTATGATTTTTGAATATACTGAGAAGATATACATTCAGTACATAGCACAGTGGGTCAAAAAATGGTGAAAATGTGAGCAATTGATCGATAGTGGGATGTCTCAGCGACGCAAGCGTGTTCGTGATGTATAAATTAAACATATTCACATAAAATGTATTTACCTAAAGATGGCACAAGTATTAGGAGTTCGACAACGCCTTAACCAGTAATATCTTTTATAAATGAAATGTGCTAACCCAGTTAAATCGAAAGCTATAAGCAGAGGTTCGAAGGTATATTTGAAAGAATATTGATATGTCGAGAAGTGATCAACCCAAGCTGATTAGCGGTTGTAGGAGATGCGAAGCACCGTGTACCCACTAGTGATCTGGTGTGAACGAACGATAGGGCGCCTTCAGCTAGGTGAGTCTATTAAAACAAATGCAGACAGCACTAGATGTCGAATACTTA